TTTCCGTGCCCATGTGGCACACAGGGGCTGTGCCAGTGGGATGTGGAGCTGGGAGTGCAGGAGCTGCCCTGTCCCCAAACACCTCCACACATGAGAAGGAAGCTCTGGTGACTTCTGCATCAGATCTTCAACCAGGACTGAGCAAAGACCAGGATTTTCCCAACTCTTGAGCAAACGGGGGTGTTCAGTATGGGAGGGTCCAACCTAATGCCATAAACAAGATTGGATTAGGAGGGATTTGCAGAGGGTCAGTCTGGAAGAGCGGCTTATTCAGGTTTTCAGCAGCTGTGTCACAACCATCCGTGGTGTGGCAACGCTCGGTTGCGTTGTGCTGCTGCTGGGTGCTGGGTTTGAGGGCCCAGGGAGCAGCCAGGAGCTCCTGGGCTGGGAGAGAGCTCAGATCAGCACCAGGAACCGGCGTCTTCCTCATCTTGGGAGGCTGAGCCGAATCTCTGAGCCCGTGAGATGGTGGAGGGTGAGTTTTTTTGGGGCTTGGGTGGTTTCCTACTGGGGGTCTTTTGAACGCAAATTAATTCATCCTGGTGCAAGTGGCTGGGTGGTGTTGAAGACTCTTGTTGTCCCTGTCCCTCTCCAGAGCTCTGGCTCTGGTGGCACAGCCCTGCCCAGAGGAGCTGCCCCTCTTTGGGCACGGGGTCAGCCTGGCCTGGGGTGTTACAGGGCCTGGGCTTTGGGGTTTTCAGCAGAGCTTTGGGGTGTTTAGCAGGGCTTTGGGGTTTTCAGCAGAGCTTTGGGGTTTTTAGCAGAGCTTTGGGGTTTTTAGCAGGGCTTTGGGGTTTTCAGCGGAGCTTTGGGATTTTCAGCGGAGCTTTGGGGTTTTCAGCAGAGCTTTGGGGTTTTTAGCAGAGCTTTGGGGTTTTCAGCAGAGCTGTTATCTCAGTCCTCACAGCAGCATTTGACATCCCAGTGGGAAGTGGAGTGGCAGCTCTGACACCTCTGTGGGGACCAGGGACAGGACCTGAGTGACACGGAGCTGTGCCAGGGCAGGTTTAGGTGGATATCAGGAAAGGTTCTTCCCCCAGAGGGTGCTGGCACTGCCCAGGCTCCCCAGGGAATGGGCACAGCCCCAAGGCTGCCAGAGCTCCAGGAGGGTTTGGACACTCCAGGCACAGGGTGGGACTGTTGGGGTGTCTGGGCAGGGCCCCACAGGGACTGGATGATCCCTGTGGGTCATTTCCAGCCCAGGACATTCTGTGACTCTGGGATCCCTCTGCCACCAAAGCCCTGGCTCCTTCCTGGACCTGCCAGCTCCTCCCCTGGCCCTTGTGCCTGATCCTGCTGCTCAGGGGGCTGAGGCAAAAAATTACCCAATGCTGCAGTAACTTCCACAAAATGTGCTTCCCCTGAGCTGATGGGGGTGGCACCCTGTCCCTGATGGGGAGGGACATCACCGTGTTCCTGATGGGGACATCACCCCATCCCTGATGGGGGTGTCACCCTGTCCCTGATGGGGGTGTCACCCTGTCCCTGATGGGGGTGTCACCCTGTCCCTGATGGGGACATCACCCCATCCCTGATGGGGGTGTCACCCTGTCCCTGATGGGGACATCCCCCTGTCCCTGATGGGGACATCACCCCATGCCTGATGGGGGTGTCACCCTGATGGGGGTGTCACCCTGATGGGGATGTCACCCTGTCCCTGCTGGGGGTGTCCCCCTGTGCTCAGCACCCACCCTGCTCCGTGCCTCCCCCCTGCTGCTGGGCACCCACGCTGGCAGATGTGAGTGTGGCTGTGCCAGGATGGGATGACAAAGGGAAAATAGGGCACTCATGGTGTGTGACAGCCACAGCCACCCCCGGAGCCTTTGTGTGCAGAACGGGAACACGGGGAGGGACACCCACGTCACGGCAGCTCTCCCTGTGCCAGCGCTGCAGCTGCAGCCCCACTGCCAGGGGGGCCCTGGGCACCCCTGGAATGTGCTCAGGGGGGAGCAGGGCAGTGTGGAGGTGCCAGGGGGGCTCTGGGCACCCCTGGAATGTGCCCAGGGGGAGCAGGGCGTTGTGGAGGTGCCAAGGGAGCCATGGGCACCCCTGGAATGTGCCCAGGGGGAGCAGGGCAGTGTGGAGGTGCCAGGGGGGCTCTGGGCACCCCTGGAATGTGCCCAGGGGGAGCAGGGCGTTGTGGAGGTGCCAAGGGAGCCATGGGCACCCCTGGAATGTGCCCAGGGGGAGCAGGGCGTTGTGGAGGTGCCAGGAGGGCTCTGGGCACCCCTGGAATGTGCCCAGGGGGAGCAGGGCGGTGTGGAGGTGCCAGGGGGGTGGTGGGAGATGGTTCTGGGCTGGGGATGGAGCTGGGAGAGGGGGCACTCTCCCACTCTCCCAGGAGGGTGTTTTTGGGGGCACCACCATGGAGAGATTTTCACTTGGGAAGTCTTGGATGTCTCCTGAGGGTGCTGGGGGTGAAATAACCTGATCTGAGCCTGGGTTCTGCCCCTCAGCAGCTTCCAGCCGTGGCAGGCAGGGGATGGATGCTCTCCATGCTCTCCCCTCTCCCTGGGGCCTCTGCTCTCCTTGCTAAGGTGAAGAATTCCCAGGCAGGACTGTGAGCTGAGGTGGAGGAGGCCCAAAACTTCACAGAACCATGGAATTTTAGGTTTGGCTTGGAAGGGACCTTAAAGTTCACCCAATTCCATCCTCTGCCATGGGCAGGAGCACCTCCCACTACCCCAGGCTGCTCCAAGCCCTGTCCAGCCTGGCCTGGGCCATCTCCAGCTGCCAGGGACGTGTGTACTCCCAGGATTTCCACCTCATGCTCCAAACCCGGGGTCAAGAGCAGAGCAAAAGGATAAAACCAACCAAACAGAGAGCAGGCATCCACGTGGAAACCCAACCAACAAGAACTGGCCAGGGGGAGGCACCGACCCCCTCCCCACGGTGTCGTGTCAGAGCTGGGGGGCTGGGGGGTGTTTTTTCCCTGTCACTCGCAATTCCCGAAGTCTGCCTTAATTATAATAATCACCCTGGGCAGACAGTCAATTAGGGATGCTCCTGGGTTTGTGCTGAGCTCAAGGGCTGTGTCACAGGCGAGCTGTTCCCTCCGTGGGCTGATGATGACGGGTGTGTGGGGATGGAGGGGACAAGGAGCAGTTTCACTAATTGCCATCCTTTGAGCTCTCCTGGCCAGCGTGCTCCGTGGCAGGAGTGACTCACCCATCTCCCTCGCTCCTGCTGCCTCCAGAGCACTGAAAACCACACAGCTGAGGCTTTGGATTCTTTTCCAGGGGTGCCCTGGAGCAGCAGAGCTCAGCTTTGGCCAGGCTGTGCCAGGGATGCTGCATTTCCCACCCCAGCAGTGTTTCCCTGGCATCACACAATTCCTGCTCCAGAGGGGGAGGATGTGGCTCTGACTGCTTTTTGCTTTTCCTGGGGATCAGAGTGGGACTGCAGGTCCTGCAGGGCGTGCTGGGGCAGCAGCTCCTGTCTCCCTGTCCTTGGGGGATGCTCTGGGGCATAGAAAAGGGCTCTGCTCGGGGCTGGGGGGATGCTGGGGTGGGGAGGACAGGCAGGAACAGGGATCCCGTGCTGATATGGGAGTTTCCAGCCTCCTGTTCAGATATGGGAGTTTCCAGCCTCTTCTCCAAATCCTCAAGGAGACCCCTCTGGTTAATGCAGGCAGTACCAGGGTCCTTTTGGGAGGGCTGAGGGCACAGGCTGGCAAGAGCAGAGCTGGGGGCCTTGGTGGCCTCCTCTCCAAGCTCGTTGGTTTCTCTTTGTGTCAGAGACTCCCCTTTGTGGACAGCACCCCAAAACTGCCCGGCCCAGGACGCCCCTCCCAGGGGGCTCAGCCTTGCCCTGCTCCCCATCTCTTGCCATGAAACCCCTGGAGTTTTCTCCCGGGGGCCAGGGGAGAAGCCAGGTGCCAGCGCTGCCCTGTGAGTGGGCAGCAATTCCCCCGAGCTCTGCCCTTGTCCTGTGCTGCTCCCACCCAGCTCCTCCTCTCCACCGGGCATTTCCCACCTCTCATCTCACCTGACACTTTTTCCCCCAGAGTGGCTCACCTGGGGAGGAGCAGAGCGGATAATTCACAATCCCCAGGGGGCTGAAGGTGAGGAAAAGGGCTGAAGAATCCCCATTTGATGGGGATCCTGCTTATTTTTGTTTAATGTTCCAGATGAAGGGGTGCAGAGGGGCTTGGACAAAGAGTTTTGGGCTGGAAAATCCTCCTTTTATGGGAACCCCACCATATTCTGGTTAATATTTGGGGATGTCTGCATGTGCAGGTAGTTAGGCTGTTTTGGGCTGGAGAGATTTCTCTGTTTCATGGGGACCCCACCTTATTTTAGTCAGTATTTGGGATGTCTGCAGGTGCCAGTACTTAGGCTGGTTTGGGTTAAGGAATTTGTCTTTGCTGTGAATGATGCCAAATTGTGCTGAATGTCCCAGATGTCAGGGTGCACAGGGGCTTGGACAGGCTGCTGTGGGCTGGAGAATCCCCCTTTTCTGGGAACCCCACCTCATTCTAATATTTGGGATATCTGCATGTGGTGGGACTTAGCCTGGATAATTTTGGATAATTTGTCTTTGCTGTGAATGGTGCCAAATTGTGCTGAATGTCCCAGATGTCAGGGTGCACAGGGGCTTGGATGAGCTGTTTTGGGCTGGAAAATCCCCCTTTGATGGGGACCCCACCTTATTCCCTTGATATTTTGGCTATCTGCACAGGGACTTAAGACGATTTGTTCCCCTTTTTGATGAAGACCCCGCACCATTTTGGTCGATATTTTGGATACTTGCCTGTGCACCTACTCAGTCTGGAGAATCTGATGAAGATCCTGCTTAATTTTCCTTAATATTTCTTAACACGGGGCGCACGGGGGCTGGTTTTGGGGGGAGCTGGGGATGGCTCACGGGGTGAAAGGCTGGCTGTGCGCCGCGGGAAGGGCTCGGGGGAGCCAGCCCGGCGTGGCCGGGGGACACCGGGAGCTTTTTCCGCGGCGCTGTGCGCGCAGCCGCGCGTGGGCACGGGCGAGGCGGGCGGGGAGGGAGCGCAGCGGCCCCGTGTCGCCTCCACCGGCCCCGTGTCGCCTCCACCGCCCGTTCCCCGGCCTGCCGGCCACCCCCGGGCCGGATGCTGCGGAGGCAGCGGCGAGCCGAGGCGCTGCGAGGCTCCCGGCTGCAGGTAAAAGGCGAGGGAGGAGGGAGGATGAGGATGAGGATGGCGCGGTGACCCCGCCTGGGGACAGGCCTGCGCTTGGCTGGGGGTTTAATCCGTCCTCTGTCCACGTATCCCGCCGGGAGGTGACACCCCGATTTTTTTTTTTGATTTTTATTTTTTTTCCAGCTGGTTTTGGGCTCAGCGCAGCCGGGGGGATGCAGCCTTCCTCCTCGGGAAGGGTCCCCGCCTGCTCCAGGCTCCGTCTGCATCCCGGACCCCCGGCTGTATCCCAGGGTGGGGGGGCTGGAAGCAGCATTTCCCGTGGGAATGGGGAGGCTGAGGGTGGTCGGGGCAGGGAACCCCCCCGCCCTCCGCCCCCGCATGTGCTTTTTGGGGGGCTCATTTCCAAAATACAGCCCGCCACGGCCCCCAGGAGGAATTTTTGCCAGGTGAAAATGGGAATTGCAGAATAAGTAGCCCCGTTTTGGGGCTCCCTGGGGATGTGGCCGCGGCCGAGGGGGTGTGTGGGAGCTGGGAAGTGTGAAAGGAGAAACCGCTGCTCGCACAAAAGCCCGGCTTACGCAGCTCAGGTCTGTTCAAGAGGCGTTTAATTCTCCTCGCCAGTCCAGGCGAATGGGGAGCTGCCATCTGGTGTCTGATGGCAGCGGGGGGAAAGGAAAAGGCTCTCCGGGAAGCAGGGCAAGCTGGGAGCTTCAGATTCCCGGGAAATGGCTCCGGTTTAAGGGCTGGCTGATGGTTTTGTGAGCGCTCCGTGTGAGCTAAAGCCGGGCTCGGGAAGGGGCAGGATCCACCTGGAAGGCAGCAGCGCCCCGGCACTGGGGCCGGCAGAGGAGGTGATGCTGGGGAATAGATCCCGTAAACCTACACACAACACATGCCAAAAATCCTCCCCGGTCAGGGACTGGCATCCCGGTGGCGGCTCAGCATGGGCTGGGAGCTGACTCGGGCACGCACCGAGTGTGTGAGGTCTGTCTGTGCCCCACCTGTGCCAGCCCAGCTGGGCACCGCCCTCAGCACACCCCTGGCATCCAGGGAGTTATTTTAGGGAGTTGTAGAGCTGTGGGTAGGGCTGCCCAGGGCAGCTCCTGGATAAATCCGGGAGCGCTCCCGGCCGCTGGAGCAGAGCGGATCTGCGGCGGGGACGGGCGAGCCCAGCCAGGAGCAGTTTCGGCTCTCCAAAGCGCCAAGATGTGTTTAAACAACGAGGTTTGTGTGTTTAAATTCAGCGGGGTGCTTGGGAGGGGGGGTGAGCGCGGTACCTCCGGATTTAGGGCGCCTTTGGGGATCTGGCACCCGACGGGTCTGCGCGGAGCCGTGACCCTGCTGCCGGCGTGCTGTCCCCGCGGGAGGGACACGGGGAACAAGACTGACCAGTTCCCGGGAGGAAACACGCTGTTCCCTCACGGCACAGGGAGTTTTCCTTGGCAGGCACTCAGCCGTGCCCAGGGTGCCCCTGCAGAGCCCGGCCGGGCTGGCACAGCGCGGGGCAGAGCCGTGGGTGGCTGCGCGGTGTCCCCGGGCAGTGCCAGCACCAGGAGCAGGTGGCACTCCCGTGTCAGACCCGTGCCGGGGCAGCGCAAGCCCCCGGGCTGGATAGGACAAGGGAGGATTTCCAGGGAGGGCCGCAGCGTGGAGAAGTGCCAGCAGCGAGCAGCGGCGCTCTGCCAGCCCCTGAGCAGCGGTGACACCCTGTGCGTGTCCCAAAAATTCCTCCCGGCGTGTTCCTCTGCATCGGGGCTGCCTCCTCTGCAGGGCAGCAGTGCTCTGACCCCTTTCCTGCAGGCTGGGAAGGATTTGTGCCCTGGCACAGCTGGCAGAGAGGCGTGGGGTGTGTTGGGATCACCTGTGCTGCAGCAGGGGCACAAACCCTGCCAGGGCCGGGGGCTGCCCACGTCAGCATCCCTCGCCCCCGCACAGCAGCGGGATGCAGGCAGCCCTTGGCACGGATGCAGGCAGCCCTTGGCATGGACACAGTGCCAGGGCTCTCTGCAGAGCCCTGGCTCTGTCCAAAACAGCAGAGTTGTCCCCTCTGGGCTGCCAAGACGAGTCCTGCAGGAACATCAGTTGTGGCTTTTCCCCTTTCCCAGAGCTGAGTGTTCCCAGGGGCTCTCAGGGCTCCTGCACTCCGTGTCTGGGTGCCAGACTGCAGGGATGAGGCTACGAGGAGGCAGCCAGAGGTTTCTTTGCTTTAATTACAGTTTTTAGTCATCCCTGACAGCTCCAGGCTGGAGCACTGTCTCCGTGCAGGATGCAGTGTGTGGGTTGGAGCAGTGTCACCGTGTGGGATGTCACCCACGGCCCGAGCTGATAACAGGGATTATCTGTTTGTCACCCAGCTCAGGGGACAGGCTGGGAGCAGAGCATTGGGCTGGAGAGACAGGAGAGCTGAGACACAGCTTGGCCAAATCCTGCTCCCCACTGGGATTTCCATTGGATTGGATCCCACTTCCCAGGTGTGAATCGCTGAGGCCTGGCAGCAAACCTGACCTCAGCACCTGGAAAAAGCCCCGAGGGGAAACTCTGCAGGGCTTAGGGATGCTGGGAAATCCAGCCAGGAATGCTGGATTCAAGGGCAGCTCATGGATAAAAGCTGCTTGCACACACGAGCAGCTATAGGTGAATCATTCACATCTACCCCAGCATTTATTTTTAGCAAAAACAGGCTTTTTCCAAAGTTTCAGGGCACCATGGGTTTCCTGTGGCATTCCCATGTGTACCTTCAGCACATCCATGGATTTTATTCCTGGGCTGGTGTCTCCACTTGTCTGGTTGAGCTTCATGGTTAAAGTCAGCCCAGGAGCTGCTGAGTTTCAGGATGATGCTGAAGCTCATGATGTTGTATCAGCCCAAAAGCCCCTTTTTATTGCAGAACCCTCATTTACTCTCAGACTTGACCCAGCCAGGCATGGGACCCCCCTGGGCAGTGCTGGGACGTGCAGCTGTGCTGAGTCCATCAGTGGAAGGTGCCAGCTGTGGAACCTGAGGCTCTCACTTGGCATTTTGGTTATTCCTTCCCTGGATTTGTCCTGCTGGAGCAATGAGGAGGTTGTGGAGTGGGACAGGGCTGGTTTTGCAGCTGGTTTTGGGTTTGAAGCTCTTCTGAGCTCTGTGCTGAGACCCTTTGGAGGAGCCAGGGCACCCCCAGCAGCTGCCAGCACCTGGGGACACCTTTGGTGGCCTTCACTCAAGGGCAGGGCTTTACCATGAGCTGGTCAGTGAGGGATTAAATCTTTTCCATCCTCCTGTGAGCAGGATGCACTCCCTGGGGCTCCTGAGCTGAACTCCATGTCCTCCTTCCCACGTGCCAGGGCCTCACCACCCTCATGGGGAAGAATTCCTTCCCAATGTCCCACCTAACCCTGCCCTCTGGCAGTGGGAAGCCATTCCCTGTGTCCTGGCACCCCATGCCTTCATCCAAAGTCCCTCTCCAGCTCTCCTGGAGCCCGTCTAGGTACTGGAAAGGGTTCTGAGCTCTCCCTGGAGCCTTCTCTCCATCAGTGCCAAAGGGACTTTGCAGCTGCTGTGGGAGCGGGAAGGGCGGAGGGATGGAGGGATGCATGGATGGATGGATGGATGGATGGATGGATGATGGATAAAGGGATGGATGGATGATGAAGAGATGGATGGATGGATGGATGGATGGATGGAGGATGGATGATGGATGGAGGGAGGATGGATGGATAAAGGATGGATGGATGGATAAAGGGATGGATGGATGATGAAGGGATGGATGATGGATGGATAAAGGACGGATGGATGGATGGACGGATGGAGGTCCCTGCAGCTGGAGGGGTGATTGGGATGGGTCACACTGCCAGGGGCACGGAGCCAGGCTGCAGCTGGCTGGATCCCCGTGGGAACACTGCCAGTCCCTGCTGTGCTGCAGCCTTGGGCTGCTCCTCTCCCAGGAGCCAAACTCTGCACAGCTCCTGGAGCTCAGCAGTGTCCCTGCAGCTCCTGGGAGCAGCTGTAGGTGTGTGCCAGGGGCTCAGTGTGAGGGAGGCTGGGACAGAAGGCTGCCAGCCAAGGTGGCTGCATGGATTCTGCCACCCCAGGTGACTTTTTCTCTCTGTCCCTGGTGTCCCTGGGGGACAGTGTCCCAGCCACTCAAGGAGCTGTGTTCCTCTCGCTGTCCAGTGCCCCAAAGGGTCTCTGGAGGAGAGGAGGAGGAGGGGGATGCTGCTGAAGAGTGGCTGCTCCTGCAGCCCAGGGGCTGTTTTCCCACTGTGCTGTGCTTGGTGAAACACGTCAGATTTGGTTTCATCTGGATCTCCTGTTTGTCTGATGAACTGGACATTGGTCCTGTGGGGGATTTTGCCCTGGGGGTGGCTGCCTGTGTCCTGGGATCAGTCCCCTGCAAGGCAGCAGGGCTGTGTCAGTGTTGCTGTCGTGCTGCTCTGGGTTTGTCACCGTTACCTGTCACCTGTGCTGCTGTCCCTGCTCCTGTCCCCGCTGTGCCCGGATGCTGCAGTGTGTGCTGGGTTGCAGACACTACAATTCACCCCCCTCCTGGGGCAGAAACACCCCCACTGAGCACACCAGTGACTCTGTGACCCTGGGGCTGCCCTGTCTTTGCCTCTTTTGCTGCAGCACTGTCCGGGATGGGCACGTGCCAGAGCATCCCAGTCCATCCCCACCCCTGTGCTCCCTGCACCTCCTTTGCCATCTGGGGTGCCAAACCCCCTCAATTACAGTCCAGAGCTCTGCATCCTCATCCCATTCCAGTTCCTGTGGTGTCCAGCATCCCCTTTCCATTGCCAGCTAAGTGTGCTAAACTCCAGGATGCTCCACCCCGGAGATGATCCCATTTCCAAACGGGGTCAGACAGAGCTGTGGGCAGAGAGAGGCCAGGGACAGGAGGATGTCAGGGCTGCCCTGGAGAGCCACCAGTGCCCTGCCAGCTGCTGGCTCCTGCCAGCCCAGTTTTGCCCATCAGGCCACGAGATGTCACATCCCTAATGTGACATACAGAACTCAGGCTCTGGTTGTCCCTTTTCTGGGCTGAAGGATGGAAAACCCTCTCGAGCAGTGCCGACGGCATGTGAGCATTCCATGAGATTGCTGATTCACGTGGCTGCTGGAGAGGAGCCAGCTCTGTCTGTCCCTGCATTGTGGACAGACATCCTGGGGACATCGTGGGGGGCCTTGCCCGAGCTCCATGGTGGTGGTTCCCTGGGGTCCTGTCCTCACTTTTGTCCTCCTTGTGTCTTTCAGATGTCCTGTGGTAGCCCGTGTCCCCCCAGGAGGTCCTGCCTGCCTTAGCCACCATCCTGCCAGCCATGGCCTCAACGCCCCAGTGAGGGACAAAAGGACAAGGAGCCAGTGTCCCCAACGCTGCCACGTCCCCAGGGAGAGCCATGGAGGTCCCTCTGGACGTGCCTGTAGGGAACCTCATTGACTTTGACAGCGAAACTCCTGCCTGTGACCCCCCAGAGCCCGCTCCTCCCGCCGTCCCCAGCGACAACGGCCACCTGGGGGACGATAGCGGCCACCCGGGGGACACAGGGGACGTGGCCGCGGAGGAGAGCGATGCCACCGAGTCAGCAGACAGCGAGAATGACATGGGGGACTCTCCCCAGCACTGGGGTGGCTTCCGCCGCTCCTCCTCCAACGAGTCCTTGTCCTCCAGCCAGAGCACGGAGCCGGCGCGGGACGCGGCCTCGGCCGAGCGCCGGGAGTTCATGCGGAATTACGTGGAGAAGATCTTCACCGGGGGGTGAGTGAGCAGGGCATCCCAAGGCATGGGGCTGGATCTGGCTGCTTTCCCACTCCAGGAGCAGCAGTTTGTCCTTCCCCTCCACGCTGCTGGTGCTGAGGGGGATGTGGCTTTTGCCTTGCGCTCCTCTCCTGGCCGCGTCTTCCACCTCCAGCTTCCCTCCCTTCTCTGTCCCCATCCCCGTGCCAGCGGCTCACTGTCCCCATCTCCTCTCCCCACTGATGCTCATGGAAATGCCAGTGGCTCACACGTGCCCAGGGACCCTGTGGCAGCCCCTGGCTGTGCCCCCAGCCCTGCATCCCCCAGCTCTCCGGGACTCCGCCGCTCCGTGTCAGGCTGGATGCAGCAAACGGAGCGTGAGGAGCAGCAGCAGGGCTTGGTTTTGCTCTGGGGCTCCCTGCCTGTCCCTGGAGCTCAGTTTCTGCTCGCACTGTCCTTGGCTCTTCCCTTCTCCCTCTGCCTTTGGTTTCCCTCCTGCCAGGGAGGAAGAAAAGAGCAGCGCAAGGCGAGGGATGACAAAACGGGTGCTCCTCTCCTCCTCCTCCTCTGCCTTCCTCCAGCACCTGCACCAGGACGCTGATGCCAAGGGGGGGTGCAAGTCTCATCCTTGGCTTTAATGATTTTTTTTTTTAAATTTTTCCCTGTTTTAGGGAGGATTTGGACCAAGAGGAGAAGGCCAGGTTTGGGGAGCTCTGCAGCAGCGAGAACGGGAAGGGCAGGGAGTGGTTTGCGAGATACGTGAGCGCCCAGGTAAGGGGAGTGCTGGGGAGGCAGCAGGGATCCTGCACGGGCTTTGGAACAGCCTCAGGCCACAGGGATTTAGTTACATCCCAGAGAAGGATTTTTGGAAGGGAGAACTCAAGGAGAGTGAGGAACCACAGCAGAGGGAGATACAGGAGCGAATAAATGCATTTTGAGCAGTTAAATACCCTTGGTACAGCGTGGGAGAGAATTCACTCATTTTATTTAAAATTAAATCCCACCAGCACTCAGACACATCCTGTTCCCTAAAAAAACAAACCAAAAACCAAACCCAAACAGGCACAACGTTGTCTCTGAGGGGAGTCCCATGAGTGCTGTATTTGCCCATGGTGGGGGTCCTGGGGGGCTGAGGCTGTTCCTGCTGCTGTGCTGAGCCCTGGGCTCTGTCCCTGCACTGTCTCACCCCCTGCTCTGTCCCTGCAGCGCTGCAACTCCAAGTGTGTCTCGGAGCAGACCTTCTACCGCCTGATGCAGTCCTTCGCCCTCGTGCTCTTTGAGTAAGTCCTGGGGGCACTCTGGGGCTTTGTGGGAACCCCCAAAAGGCCCTGAGGGCAGAGCTGGGTCGGGCTTCCATCACGGGGTGTCCTCACTGAGCCCTCTCTCTGTGTCAGGTGTCACCAGATGGACGATTTCAGCCCTGCCAAGAACCTCATGACCATGTGTTTCACCTATTACTACATAGGTAAGGGAGCCTGCACCCCTGGGGAGGCTCTGCTGGTGCTGGGGGCAGGTGTGAAACGTGTCCTGTGCATGGGAAAGGTGTTGGAGGGGTGCCCCAGGTGGAAAAGAGCCCAGAATCCATGCAAACTCCTGCTGGGGTGGTGATGCTGCTTTGCCCTCACTTCCAGCCAGGAATGTTTGTATGTGACAACCTCCAGTGATCCCAGCCCTGGGTGGGATGGGAACACCCCAGCCCAGAAGCACCTTGGTTTATTGATTGGTGTGCAACGGCTGCTCCTCCACGGGGGGCTGGATTTTCTATCCAGAATGGGAGCAGGGAGGATAAAAATAAAAACCTACAGGAACTGGGGTGGGATAAAAATAAAAACCGTCAGGGAGCTGGGATGGGATGTGGGGTGTTTCCATCTGCTGGTGGGGCATCGTGGAGCTGGGTGCAGGTCCCCAGCAGCTGGCAGCACTCAGGGCCGTGGGCCCACTGAGCTCCTGGCACATTTTCCCCAGGGAAACCTCAGGCCCTGCCCTTGGAGGCCAAGGAGAAGCCCACGGGCAGCATCGACTCGTACCTGAAGTCAGCGAACACCTGGCTGGCCGAGAAGAAGGACATTGCAGAGAGGCTGCTGAAAAACACCTCGGCCAAGACAGAGAACGTCAAGGGCTTCTTCGGGGGCCTGGAGACCAAACTGAAGGGTCCTGGCCCCAAAAAGAGCGAGTGGGTACCGCTCCCTTGGGGGGCTGGGCAGGCACCGTGTCCTGACCAAGGCAGGGCTGTGTGGGCACCACGGGGCTGCCACGGCCACGAGAGCCTGGTGCCATGCTTTAGTCACTGTCACCTCGTGGTCTGGGAGTCCTGCTTCCCTTGGCCAGTGTCCTAATTCTTCCTGATTTGTCTCCAAACCGAGACAGCCATGGAGTTACGTGGTTCCAAGCTGGTGATCTTCTGCATCATCTCTCTGCTGGCTCTGAGGGGAGGGATGTCACCGTCTCTTTGTCACCTTTCTGGCCCTGGGGATGATGGTGGCATGGGATCAGGGGGTCTCTCAAATGAGGTTCCCTCTGCCAGGGGGCCATGGGCTCTCGGGGGGGACAGGATTTTTGGAGCTGACGTTGATTTCTTGTTCCACAGAGAAGGTGAAGACAAACCAAAGGAGAAGCTGAAGAAAACGGGTGAGTGCAGCCGGCATCGCTGAAATAGGAATGGCCAAGGCACCCCTGGGGAAGGAGGGAGGGTTGGAAATGCTGGAATTCCTTGGGGCTGGGTTTGAAATTCCAGTCACAACTCTCATCCTGCGAGGATCTTGTCCTCAGTGCCACAGGCTGCTGAGGCTTGGGCACCCACTGCCTTGAGCTTTGGTGGTGCACCAGTGTCCCCCAGCACCTGTGTGTGCTCCCAGAGCAGCAGTCCAGTCCCCCCAGGATCCTCCTGGGCCATCCCTGCCTCCATCAGGGCTGACTCCTGCCCTCCAAGGGCACTCAGAGCTCCTCCTTCTGTTTCTCTGGACGTGCAGAGGATGTGTTTGGTTTGCAATCCATCCCGGCTGCTCAACCACCACACTGGGGAGGGGGCACAAAATCCACACGTGGGTGGGAAGGTGGGAGTCCCCCCGGTGCTGCTGTGTGACTGTGTGTCCCCACAGTGTCCCTGCAGAGCCCAGAGGAGGAGAAGAAGGGGGAGAAGATCTACCTGTACATGCACCTCAAGCAGCAGCCGATCTGGTAAAGCCCCTGGGCGAGCTGGCTCCTGCCTGGGGAGGGGTTTGTCCTGCTGGCCACATGTCCCCAGATGTCACAAGTGCCCCTAACAGAGCTGGCCCTGGCTTTGGCACGTCCCTTGTGCTAATGAGAGTGTGTTTGCAGCCACCAAAGGGCTGGTCCAGAAATCTGCCAGGTTTGTTTGGCCCACCTTGACCTTTGGGAGGACTCAGGACAGGCTGGGTGATATTGTAGAATCCTGGAATGGTTTGGGTTGGAAAAGACCTTAAATCCCATCCCATCCCATCCCATCCCATCCCATCCCACCCCATCCCATCCCATCCCACCCCTGCCATGGCAGGGACACCTTCCACTGTCCCAGGCTGCTCTGAGCTCCATCCAACCTGGCCTTGGGCACTGCCAGGGATCCAGGGGCAGCCACAGCTCCTCTGGGCACTCTGTGGTTCCTAATTATAACATCCCAGTTGGCCATTCCCAACATCCCCTCCCTCCCTGCAGGCACAATCTCCGCTTCTGGAACGCTGCCTTCTTCGACGCCGTGCACTGCGAGCGCAGGAAGAGATCCCCCACCACCAGGTAGGACACGTCCCTGTGGGAAAAGGAGACTCTGTGTCCCCTCCAGCCCCCCAGGGAGCTCCTCCCAACAGCCCTGAGCTCGTCCAGCCCAGGGGAAATGCTCTGCTTGCCATCCCCTCTGGAATCCTGCTGGGGTGTGCTGGTGGGATCTGCAGCCTGGCAGGGCTCTGGCAGCAGGAAGGGTTTCTTGCTCGTTGTGCAGCACTTTTGGGGGGACCAAACCCTAGAGATGTGCCCAGAAATCCCAGCCAGGGCTCAGGCTGCTGGTGCTGAGTGTGCCAGCAGGTCTGGGAGGTGCTCGGTGCAGCCATCAGGGAGGTGGGGTGGACGGAGGGGATGCCCCAGCTGTCCCCAGGAGGGACAACCTGCAGCCAGCAAGGAGAGAAGCTGGGGATGGTGGCACTGCCAGCCCCCAAAATTGGGATAAACCTGCCAGGGAAGGGGCTGCTCGTGTTGGGGGCTGCAGAAGTGGGTGAGACTCTCACCAAGCTTGTGCCCACCTCTTGCTGCACCCCGGAGCTGTGTGGGGGCTCCAGCCGCTCCCTCCTCTCCTGGCAGCAGTTTCCCACTCCCAGCCGGCCCCTCCCGCTGTCCGTGCAGTGCCTGAGGCTCTGAGCTCTCCCTGGAGCCCCCGAGCCGCCCCTTTCCCCCTTTTTGGAGCACTGACAGCCCTTTGGAGCAGCCAGCCCCCTCTGTGTCCTCCCCAAACCCCGAGCTGAGCCGCGGCAGCCCTGGCTCTCACCGGGGATGCTGTGCCAGGCTCAGCTCTCGGATCAATCCCTGTTTTCCCCTTTATTGCTTTCCTTTTTTTCTCCCAAGCAAGCACGGGAAGAGCCTACAGAGCAGCAGTGTAACCACAACTGCGTTTGCTTTCATTAAGCCCCAAATTAGCAGCAGCAAATGCCTCACAAGGACAGACGCCACCGGCAGCTGCTCCCTGCTCCCAGTGCCTCTCCCAATTAATCTGATGGCTGAGCCTGCCTCGGCTGCAGGAACAAGCCTGGCTGACAAAGGAGCTTTGGGAGCTGCAGCCTGGAGAATCCTGAGCATCTCAGGGGGTTTGAGAGGTGGTGGTGACCCCCCTGAGTCCTCTGGAGAGGATGCAGGATCCTTACAGTGAGCTGGGATGCTGGGCTGAGGATTGGAATCCCTGCTGGGGTCGGGGCTGGGTTTGGAATTCCAGGTCGGTCCTTGGCCATGGCAGGTGCCCAGAAGCTCCTTGGGGATGGGGCTGAGGCCACCTCTGTGATGGGGTGACCAGGACATCTCTGGGGTGGCCAGGCTTTGTCCTTTGCCAGTCCTGGGCAGGATTTTCCTCCTCTGGGTGGGGAGGGCAGGGGAGGGGGGGGAAGGAACAGAACTAAACTCCTCTTTTTCTCTCTCTTTCCTCTCTCTCTGCCTCTAACAACCTCCTTCCCTCTCTTCCTCTCTCCGTTCCCCTCCATCCCTCTGTCTTGCATGACCTTTTCACGCGCCACTCTTGTGGGCCCCGTTTCTGCCGCCGCTCCAGAGGGAACACTGGGGAGGAAGAGGAGAAGAGGTGTGTCTGTCCCTGTCCTTCCTTAGTGCCGCAGGCTGATGCTCGCTTCAGGTCCAGATCCTGCCCTGGGGACGGGGGAGATGTGTTTTGGGGGGCTCTGCAAGGCCCTTCCTCCATGGAGGAGGAGCAGCTGCCGGAGGTTTGAGCAGGAGCAGCACCCTCCCAAAGGGCCTGAGGGGTTTACACTGGCTCCTCTTTCATTCCTTTTCTCTTAAAAAGGAGCCTGAATGCTTTCAAGCTGTGATACTTCGCTGGGAACATCCCTCTGGGCAGGTTTTGGGCATGAACTGAGTCTCTTTGTGTAGAAAGCATCCCCCTCTCCTGTCCTTCCTGCTTGCTCCTGGCTTCTGCTGCCACTTAGAGGTGCTGGGGATCCTTTGCCAGCTGGAAAAGCTGGTCCTTTTCCATTTTTAATGCACTATTCTGCTGCCATCCTTTAACAAAATTAAAATTGCAAATGGTGGGTGGGCTGCATGTCACGATTGGGAGCGTGTCCTTGGGGCCACGAGCTGGGAACAGTCACTGCTGTCTTGGAGTGTGGGATCTGGGGGCAAATCCCTCCAGGTGATGGCACCAACAAGAGGATGAGGGATTTTGGAAGCCTGGCAGTGAATTTTCTGTGTGGCTGAGGAATGTCCTGGCCGAGGGATGGTGTGTAAATATCACTGCTGGAGTTTATTGTGTGGGGGGAAATGCTGCTGCTGCTGCTGGAAGAGGAAGGGGTTGGTGGAGAGTTCTCAGCACTTCCAGGCACGGCAAGGATGCCCCAAAATACAACCCCACAGCCCAGGGATTCCTCACCCCTGTGCCTGTCCTGCTGGTGAAGATCAAAGGCTTTGAGTGGAGCCACATGTGGGTTTTCTCCCTTCCCAGGAATGTTACTCTCCAGTAATAAGCCAGAAACACGGCCAATTTTTTTGGGGAGGGGGCACTTTGATAATGTTTTTTCTCCCTTCTTCCTCCCTCCAAAACATAAAAATGCAGGAAAAAAAGAGTTACAAACATGCCTCTTCTGTGAGTGAGCCAGTGGGGTCTGTGAAGTTTTGCTTCCAGATTTCAAAGCCCTTAATTCTATTCTTCCCCTCTCCTTTCAGCCTCTACATTTGGCTGTGGGTTTTATTTGCTATCCTAAGCTTTATCTGAGAGAAATTACACCTTCTTTTCTTTTAAAAAAAATCCCCTGAAACACGTTGTGTGCATTTCCAGAGCCCTACAAACAATGAGCTGCTGGCTGCAGGCTCAGCTCAGCAGCTTTGCACATCCAGGTGGGGGTGATTGGGTGGGGACTGGCTCCCTTTGTGGGGTCAGCCTGGCTGAGCACCCATCCTCTCCCAGTTCCAGCCCCACTGGGGCTGAGCCAGCCTCACTGAATTTCGGGTGAGACCCCCTCTATCCCAGCTTCCCCCCAGCACAGCTCCCCCCTCCTGCTTGTTATTCTGGCCAGCTACAAGTGTCCCTTCTTCTCCTGGTGTTCTCCTCTTCCTTCTCCTCCATTTTTCTTCTGCCTATCCCTGTTTCTCCTGGCTTCTCCTCCTCTTATCCTTGGCTGTAACCTCACCTGGTTCTCGGGAAGGGGCTGGCTTCACCGTGGAGCTGTATTTTCCCTGGCATGCATGCACCGAGCCCTGCTGCCACCACCCCGAGTGACATCCCTGTGGCACAGGCTTTATTCCCGGGGTGGGGACTCTGCCCCTGCCTAGAGATGGTTGCAAACACCCAGAGCTTAAACCCCCTCCATCCCTGAAGGCGATACTGCAGCTGCAGGGAGCTGCAGTGGAGCTGGGCACCCTCAGGGCACCGCTGGCATTTTGGCCCACGGGGAGGGAGCTCCTGTCCTGTCCTTGGGGATCACCTTGCTCGGGATTTGGGGAGTTGGAGCCTTGCTGCAGATGAGGGACAGGTGCCTGGTGTCCCCCTGTCACCCTGCCAGGCTGGGGGGCTTAAGCAGAGCCCTGCTGGGACGGCCATCCCCTGCTTCCTCCTCATGCCCACGGTGGCACTGAAGGTGAGCTCTGTGCTGGAGGGATTGATGCTATTTTTAGCTCTTAATCAGGGCCTTTCCAGGCAAAGCCAAGGCTGAATGAGGTTTTTCCTGGAGCATCTCTTGCTTTGCTCCAGGGCAAGAGCTCTGCAGATGGATCCATGTTGTGAGCTCATCCAACACCCAGCGCCACACCGAGGGGCTCTCAGTGCCTTCCTGCCCTCCAAGGGGCTCTCGGTGCCTTCCTGCCCTCCAGCAACGTGGCCCAGGGTGGGAGGGAGCAGGCAGGGGGTCCTGAGGTGCCAGTGGTGGCAGAGTGGTGCCAGTGGCTTGTTCCTTGCAGGGAGAAGTGGTGCCACATGACGCAGGAGGAGCGCGACGACAGCCTGCGCTTCAACGAGAACATCACCTTCGGGCAGCTGGGGTGAGCAGGGCACGGGCACCACCCCCCTGGGGACACCTCCCAGCTGTTCCCCCACTGGGGACGTCCCTTATGGTGCAGAGGGTCTTTGATGCTTCTCCCTGGGATCTGCTCCTGCCCCTGCTGTTGAATACCCAAAGGGATCGAGCTGAGCATCATCCCAGTGCCCGCTGCAAGGGGCTGGGGAGAGGGAGAGGAAGGTGGGGGCAAGAAGGGGCAGCCTGGCCATTCTCTCACCCAGAACCTCTCTGTCCTCCCTCAGCACCTTCATCCACAACATGCTGGCGTTTGGCCTCAACAAGAAGCTCTGCAGTGACTTCCTGAAGAAGCAGGCGACCATCGGCAACTTGGACGAAGGTAGGGGAGAGCCCGGGGGATGTGCAGCCCCTTTCTGGGATTCTGGGGGGGATGGAGCATGGGTGGGATGGTTCAGCAGCCTCCCTGAGCCCTTCTCTCTCTCCTTCCCAGAGCAATACAAGCTGCTCAGTGACCACATCGAGCAGATGGCCACGGAGTAGCTGCCTGGACACAGCGGCCGGACAGGTGGGGAGGGGAGAGGAGCCCACCTCCGGGGCTACCTGAGACTGCAGCTGGGCTGCCTACAAACCAAACCACACACACGAGCTGCAATAAAACCTGCATGATCGTCCATCAAACTCTAGAGCTGCCCCAGGGCAGCCTGTAGACATAGGAGACAAACAGCCCCCGCCCTCGCCAGACCCTCCCGCCTCTGTTGTCGGAGTAGACAGCCCCAAAAGTGAATTTGGTTGGTTGAGAAGCAAAACAAAACACAAGGGGAAAGCAGGAAGAGCGTGGCTGTGCAGCCCCCAGGTGCTGTGGCTGCAGCCCCCCCATGCTGAGGTCTCTGGTGGTAAATCCAGAGGGATGCAAGGCTGCCTTTCCCTGCTGGACTCCCCCCGCTGATGCTGGAGCTGCACCAGGGATGCAGGAGGTGATGGCAGGGACCACAGCCAGGTTCTCTGGTGTCTCCAGGGGTGTCACCACTGCCTGGGGACATGGGCAGGGTGGGGCCTTGCTGGGGGCAGAGGTGGGGCTGGCAGAGCGCTGCTGCCGCCCTCCTTGGGAGCTGGAGGGAAATCCTTCCCTTGGGAAACCTTCACTGTGCTGCCTGTGTGGGTTTGTACCTCTGGGCAGAGGGACAGCAGTTTGCTCCATATCATTAGCCTGCATCAGTAGGAAAAAAGCCATGGCCTTGGGCAGGATTGCGGGCAGAGGAGCTCTGCTTGCCTTGGGAGGATGAGGAGATGACAAAACCTCATCCCCCTCCCTGCTGCCCTGTCAGTGTCGGGATGCTGCTGGATTGTGACATTTCCCAAAGCCTCCTGGCGTCCTGTGGCAGTAGATTAATTCCCTCCTTCCCCGGGCTGCTCCTCTCTGCCCCCTCCTTGGCTCCAGCTGCTCATCCATCAAACCTGAAACTGCCCTGTCCAAAGGACATCTCCTCTTCTGCTCCAGGGGCAGCAGATCTGTTTTATCCCTTGGACCTTGGCACGGTGTTTGCAGAGAGGCTGGGGACACAGGGACATCTCTGGGGACACTGATGGGGACACAGGGACTTCGCTGCTCCCCTCTGCAGAAACACCCAGCCCTGCACAGCCAAGGGTCCAGCAGCCTCACCCCAAAAACCTCATCCTGAAACACGAGTCCAGGTTTCAATCAATCCCTTTTCCCTGTGCTGCCAGCTGTCTCCCATAGGAAATAGCATAAAAGGATATTTTTTCCATGTAGCTCTTGGCTTCTGGTGTCATTTCCAAGCATCAAAGTGATGCTTTTACCTAAGCTGGGCTTCCCCTGCTGCTGGGGATGGGATCCGTGCTGGGTCTTGTAGGAAGGACAAATCCAGCACCAGTTCTTCCTTGACCGTTCCCAAACCTGGGCAGAGTCACTGGAGAAGGGTTTTTGTTGGGGTCAGGGGCTGATGTTGGTCCCTCATCCCAATAAACCCCTTCCTGCTGGATAAAATGTGCTGCACCATGAGCAGCTCAGCATCCTGGAGCATCCCATCCCCGTGGCCTTCCCTCTCTGTCTCCACTCAGGTCTTCCCCAAATCCTCCTTCATTTCTTTATTATTGTTATTTTTTTTTTTCCAACATGAAAAGAAATGTTCAGCGCTGAAGTATATATAATATTTGCATGTGTATTTTTCTATAAAAACAATTAAAATCCAATAAAAAATAGCCATAAACCCTCCTTGACCGGGGATGTGTGAAGGTTGGGATGTGTGAGAGAGAGAGATTGGAATAAATTATCTCAGAAATGAATATTTTTGCTCAATTGTTGTTGTGTTTTTTAAGCAGATGGATTTTCTCCAGGCTGCCTGTTCGAGCTCAGTGGTCCCTGGTGCCTCCACCAGCTTCTCCCTTTTGATAATCTATTTTTTTAATAGAGAAAAACTGTTGTACCTTTAACAGAGATGTTCACATTTGCCCTGGAGCCAGAGAGGCACTTGAAGGAAATTTCATTTTTATTTTCTTTTCCCTTGTGCTTTCCATCTCTGCCAGTGGCCTCGGAGCTGATGGCAGAGCTGGGATCCTGCTCTGGCCTCGGGACATTTGATTTCAGTGTATTTAAAAATCAATTACTCGGTATTATCTTATTAAAAGAAAAGATGTTCCCTTAGGTTAGCAGGCTGGGAATGTCATATTCCACCCAGGATTCGGAGTCCACGTCCCCTCAGGTCTCTGTGTGGCCAGGCTGAGCCTGTTCCTTGTCCTGCAGGGCTGGTTTCTCTCTTGGCAGCCACGTTTCTTTTCGGAAGGAGCTTTCCCTGCTCCTTGTTTTTATTGAATTACCCCCCACGCAGGAGGGAAACCCACCAGCCCCAAAGCTTGGATGTTTTCCCTGGGTGTGGACTGCTCAGCTGTGGAAAACAAGGAGCCTGGGATCAATTTTGTTCCCTCCACCTGCTGAATTCCTTATCACCCGGCTGTGCCTGATAAGTTTGTGTGTATAGGAAGGGAGGGGCTTATTCCTGAGGTGTTTGCCCAGCTCCAGGTGCCCTTTGCAGTGGGTGCCCCTGGCACCTCCCTTTTCCTGGTTTTCTCTGGCTGGGTGCTCAGAATTGTTTTGTGAGGCTCCAGGGACACTTTGGGAAGTGGGGATGAGATTAAGGGCTGCTTAATCCCAGCCTGGGAGGGTGTGAGATGCATGACCAGGAACCCTGGAGCTGGGAGATCTCCTGAGCTGTGGGGAATGCCAAGGGACAGTGTCCCTGTCCTGCCTGGGGAGTGCCAAGGGACAGTGTCCCTGTCCTGCCCGGGGAATGCCAAGGGACAGTGTCCCTGTCCTGCTCATCAGGTGGTGGCTGTTGAGCCAATTTAGTAATTTTCAGGTTAAAAAGCGGTGTCACCACACCCAGGAGGGTCATCAGTGCAGCTGGAAGCAGGCTTGGTTTAAACCCCTGCAGGTGGGCCGGAGCAGCTGTGAGGTGGGACTGCAGGAGGAGCCCCTGGAGAAGGTACTGGATGTCACAGGCACAGCCTGTCCCCTGTCCCCCTTCCCTGCCGGGTGTGAATTACACCATGCAGCAGCTTTAGGAAAGCTGACCCAGCTCTGGGGTGGTTCCACCCATCCATTAAAGCCAGGGTCAGCGCAGTGGCTGCTGCAGCTCTGCTCCTTCAAGGCTGAGCACAGCGAGCAGCTCCCAGCCCCTCTCCCTCCCTCGGGATGGATCAAAGGACGGCTGCTCACCCGGCTCCGGGGGTTTTATTGCGCCTCTATTAAAGCTGTTAAAAATCTTTCCATTGTGGCAGTGTCTGGGAGTGATAAGTATTCATAACAGAGGGGATTCAAGATGGGCTTGGTTGTAAAAACACCTCTAAGCTGGCTGGATTTATGGCTGTTAAATCATCCCTCCTCTCATCTGTCACAGCCTTTTCAGATGTTCATCACTGAACAACAGCGAGGCTGGGGCCGTAATTTGTGCTGCAGGAGGAGGGGAGCCCTCTCCACCAGTAACTGCCTCAGGATTTATGGAGACTTCTCCCAATCTTTTTTTTTTTTCCCGAGTAGAAGAGGCTTTGCCTCTCTTTCTGCTGTTGCCAGCTTGTTCAGCCAGCTGGAGCCAAGGAAGTCCGGGTGGATTTAGAGCCCTGCTGGGAGGGCTGGGAGCAGCTTGCAGGGAATTTGGGCCAGGATCTGTAATGCGGGGCTGTGCCTCTGGCTGGGCTCTGCTTTGGGGCTGGGTCCTCCCACCCTCCCCAGGTTTGGGGATGGAACACGGGAAAATCCCACGGATGCAGATGGAGAGGTTTGGGTGGGAAGGGAACTCAAAGATTTGCTGGGTCGTGATATTGAGGTGTAGGCTCGGGGGGATGCTTCATCAGGCTGCACACCAGGGGCTCCCTGCCTGCTCTGGCAGCCTGGGGGGAATTTCTGGAGATCTGGGATCATATTTAGAGAGACCTGCTCACTCTGCACCCACCTGAAAGGTCAGAGCCAGGTGGGGATGATCTCTCAAGGAGCAAGGGACAGGATGAGGAATTGTGAGATGCTGGAGCTGGGGAGGCCAGGCTGTGCTTTCACATTCCCTGGGATGATTTTGGGAGCCAGCACTGCTCTTCCCCCAGGAAAGCTTTAGGGTGTCAGGTTTGGAGCTGGGCTGGCGTGAGGGGCAGGGCTCCCCTCTCCCCTCTGGGTTTATTTTAGGGACAGCAGCTCCCACAAATTTAACGATTTTTAAAATTAGACAGAGCAGTCAGTGACACCTCAGGGGTTTTTGAGCACACCAGCCTCTGTCCCCTGCGTGTCCCCGTGCTGTCCCCAGCACAGCCCTGACCAGAGGGCAGCTGTCCCCCTGCCACACCTCGTGTCCCAGTCAAAGCTTTGGCTTGGGTAGGTTTTTATTGGATTGTGTGAACATTTCCAGGACTTGGGATTTTTTTTTCTTTTTTTTTTTTTTTTCCCATGTGAAAATAAAGATTCAAAGCAGAGTTGAGAATTTACTCCTATGAACAAAAAGGTGGGAAGGGAATTCCATAATCCCTTGGAGGTTCCAACAGGACACATTTATACCCCTATGGCAGCTAATAATACATTACTAATTGCCAATATTAATAAATATACTATTTATTATAAGAAATAAGTAGTATAAGTATTATAATAAATAATCATAGTTTTAGGTTGTAATAGGTGATTGTACTCCTGGATCCTAAAAGATAATATTGTAAATAGAATTTAATAGATTTAATGGATAATTTTTAGGTAATAGATATAATAGATAATTAATAAATAATGTAATCCCAACAGTAGAATTTATTGATGATTGTATTAATAACTAACACCAATTCTACAGATGCTGATGCTTACAGGAGATGAAATGCTAATACAATAAATGAATGCTACAAATTAATAATAAATATTAATAAAGCTAATAGCTGGGCCATGTCACTACGCCGAGAGGACAGAGGGCAAAGGATGGGTGACACCACAGGCCACTGGTGTCACCTGAGGCCTTGGGCTCCCCTGGACTGGACTGGCACTGTTTGGTCCACTACACCAAAGTGTCTCTTCCTGTTTGACCACAGCTCACAAGAATTAAGCCCTGTGTCCCCACTTGACCCCTTGATCAATTAATGGGGACACAAATGACCTCAAGAAGCCCTTGTGTCCACATCTGACACCACAATCAATTAACGGAGACACAAATGACCTCAAGTAACCCCCAGATCAATTAAAAAATACTCCAATGACCTCAAATAACCCCTGTGACCTGAAGTAACCCCGATCAGGACCTCAAATGACCTCAAATGACCCCAATGACCTCAAGTAACCCCCAAAGAGGGTCTAAAATGACCCCAAGTAACCCCTGGAGAAATGAAAAAATATTCCAATGACCTCAAGTAACCCCTATGACCTCAAATGACCCCTGTGACCTGAAGTAACCCCAATCAGGGCCTCAAATGACCTCAAATGACCCCTGTGACCTGAAGTAACCCCGATTGAGGCCACAAATGACCTCAAGTAACCCCAAAGAGGGTCTAAAATGACCTAAAGTAACCCCTGGAGAAATGAAAAAATATTCCAATGACCTCAAGTAACCCCTGTGACCTCAAATGACCCCTATGACCTCAAGTAACCCCAATCAGGGCCTCAAATGACCTCAAATGACCCCTGTGACCTCAAGTAACCCCGATCAGGACCTCAAATGACCTCAAGTAACCCCGATCAGGGATTCCAATGACCCCAAGTCACCTCTGTGACCTCAGGAATATATAATGAAGAGTTCAGTGCATAAAATCTCATTCCAATGCTGTTGCTGAGAGAGGTTTCATAATAATTCTGGCATAAAGTCACTTTCTAAGCTGCCAAAGCGAGGCCAGGTCCCTCCTTTCTCCGACTTCTGCATTGGGCCCACCAGTGTAGAATTCCAAAGCGGTTCTTCCATGATAAAAGATGTTTTTTTTACCTGTTAGGATCTACCAATGTTTTATTATTAAATTAAATGTGGAGTTTCAGGGGATCTTTATTTTCTGCAGATGCAGCCCACGTTTGTGTTCACACACAGGAAAAAAGCTGCTGCCAAGAGAGGTGGCAGGCACCGAGTCCTGGGAGGGATTTGTGCTCAGGTCCTGCACCCCAGGGCTGGCTCCTCTGCCTGGGGCCAGCCCTCAACAGGCAGGGGCAGCACCAGCAGTGAGCCAGAGAGACAGAGAAAGAGAAAAAGAGAGAAAGAGAGAAAGAGAACACGTGAGAAAAAAGCCTTGTCTGACCAGGATTGGGACCCAGATCTCTGGGATTCAAAGAGTAACACAAACCCTTCTAATTTAACAAAACTTACAGATTTTAACTTAACAGATTTAACAAAATCCAGGTGTAAATCCTGAAATGTGAGGGACACTCAGCCACGGCTACCACTGTATAAAGTCTGTGGATTTTTTATTTAATATAATAATAAAGTAGTAGCAGTAGCATTTTTTTTATATTTTATTAAATATAATTATATATTTTATATCATTATACAATATATACACTATATATTATATATAATATATATTATATAATATAATATATATTATATAATTATAATATTATATTATAATATATTATATAATGGATAATAAATTCTATATAATTATATATTCTATAATAAAAATTCTATGTATATAATGTATTATGTCATATATAATTTATTATGTAATATATAATATTATATAATATATAATTAATAATAAATTATAATTTATTATTTTATATATAATATAGAATGATAAGTAATTTATTATTTATTATATTATTTAATCTATTATATATTTATTAT